ATGCCAAGCATCTTTTTTCCAAGGCTGGGGTCAAGGACTCTCAAGTACTACTACTGTTACCACATTGGGTAGGAACAGTCATTGCTATTTTCAGATTAAATCCTTTCCCATGAAGACACCAAGTCCCTGGACAGTTTCTGAGCGCCGCTTTGGAAGTGCTTTTCCAAACAGTAACTTCACACACAAACCCCCCCAAGTTTCTGTAGGACTTCTGTTCTCTGGAGAAGGGCAAGACTCTGTCTAAGGGGGATTGGGTGTTGAGTCTAGTTGCAGTTTTCCAGGACTTTCACCCTGGAATCAAAACAGACACTTGAGGGTTGAATGCCCTACATGTAAAGTTCTCTTGTGGAGATGCATGGAATGCATGCACACCATTGCCATGGGTTTTGCCTTTTTTCCATGTAGGAAAAAAAAAAAAAAAATTAGCTGTCCCTTGTCCCTTCCCCTCTGTCACTGCATTCTCCAACATCTGTTTTTCAGCATGATTCTCTGAGGTACTGCTGTTGGGATTCCTGCTAGGTGGGAACTTAAGTGGCAGAAAGCAGCCATACCCTCTCTTAAATTTCATGTCTGGGGCCACCTAAATGCCCTAGTCAGAGGTGGTGAACTGGCCAGTGACTTCTTAGAGCCTTTACTCTCTGATACGAGGTTTGGAAGGATGGTAATGTCCACTTGAACAATCCTTACATGACAGTTTTTTACTGTATTGCCTGTTCCACTTGTAATAATCTTTTGTTTTAAATGTATTAAGTTGATTGGCCTAGTTTTAAATCTTGTTTACTATAAAGGAGAAAGCATAAACAAAGATCTTCTGATCTCCATATAAGATCTCGTGCGAGAAATACCTCTTCTGAAAGTGGTAACTGTGATTTCATTGCACCACTTTCAAAAGCCAAATAGTTTCTGAAATAGTTTGCACTTCTGAAAGTTAAGCTTTGAATGAAGATTGTGATGGGAGAATGGCAGTAACTCCTGAAGGCTAAAGAATCACTCAAAGTGTTGACATACCTGAGTGTTTACTCGTATGATGAATTTTGTTAAAGAATCAATAATTAAAAGTGCTTAATGGCTCATACTGTTTGCTAGACAAGTTTCCTTAAATGGGTATCACTTTCATGCTGAAAAGTTCTTGCCACCTCTTTCTCCTGAGTGCATTTTATAAAGCATAATTGTCATCTTGTTAGTTGAGAAACCAAGATATTACCCGTATTGTCTCTACGTACATTTGAGGTAAGAATCTGTAATAGTTAAGGTGCCATTAATCACATTGTCATGTAGCAACAGTTTTAGACCATGGTGGCATTTACAGCATCTCAATGAGTGTCTGGGCTCCACTGTCTTAGGTGCAGCATCATATAGATTTATAGAGCAAGGGTAAGGAGGGGTGATGGATTATACAGATTGACTTCCTATATGTCATGAGCTCTTAAACTTGTTTAACTCCTTTCATTTGCTCTGATAACTGTAGGTAAAGCAAATATTCAACAAAAACATTTAGTTTTAAGGGTATACTGGCAAGAGATAATTTCCACTACTTTCTGGATTGTAATTTTCAATGAAGTGCATGAAGGTTGTACTGTGCGTAAAATTAGTAAAATAATAGCCCCCACTCTGAAGAACCTATGGCTTATATAGATAAAAGAGATGAAAAGGGGCAAAAAGAAAGGTCCTGTCTTAGAGATGGCAAAATTCTGACTAGCCCAGAGTATCAAATAGGAGCATCTAGAAGGGACTGAAGATGAACCTGTGTCCTTTGTGACAAATACTGCGCTTTAACTGAAAAATGGTCCTTACTCTTAACCTGAAAATAAGAGAGTGGGTTAGTCTTCTCCTGACTACCAGCAAGGAACTTGCAGGTGGTGAGCAGTGGTTTACCAGTCTAAAAGCTTCTGATGCCAAGTATTTGTGTATAATATTTGAAAGGCTGAAATTCATAAGAATCCCTTTTGTTATGCAGTACAAAAGAAAAATGATACTTAAAAGGATGAATTAGTTTAATAGAAAAATTCAAACTTCCTGAAAGTGATCTGGTCTTGATGGTGAAATCTAAGATCATTTGTATGCTCAGGCAGACCTCCAAAATACATTGTGCATCAGTCTTTCTCAGTACACTGTTGCTTTGTTGAATGATAAGTTACTACAGAGTAATTTCTACTATTAACTTTTTAGCACAGGAGTGTCAAATCAGCATGCCCACTGCACAGGGGCAAAGGCAAGGATATTGTGGTAGCTTTGCTATTGCTGATGGAGGAAAACCTGAAATTACCACCGAGTACTGCAACTTTAAGCTGTGTTTTAGACCTGCTCGTTTCAGGTTTCACAGAGCAGAGTTTCAGCACAAAGTTGGGCTTGACCTGTCAATGACAATGTAAAACAACTACTTAAATATTGTTTATCTTCAGAGCTTTATAGACAGGGCAGACAGATTGGAAATGTGTACACTCAACAACAGCAAAAGGTCAGCTCTCTTGCCTGTGGTCAGTGGTCATTTTGGAAAGAATGTTTTATTTCTGCTAGGGAGCTGTTGATGTAGGTGAGAGAGAAGTGATGAATGAAATCCCTTGCCAGCGCTGGCAGGAGAAGCGCTGCAATTGCAGAGAGCAGGCACAGGAACATGGGGAGCAGCCCCTGATTTGTACTTCTCTGCAGTGTTCAGTCTTTTCCTCTAGTGATGCTGGTGTTCAGCCTGTGCATCCATGGCTTGACATCTGAGTGGGGGGCTGTTGTACATCTTGGCTTTAGTCATTAGAAGATGACTGTGGGATTTTCATCCTACTGCAGATTCAGCCAAGTGACCTGAAGGTTAAAGTGTCTTCCTTCAATATCTAAATCCAAACTCTTACTGCTTCCAGTAGAGATGATCAATAGCATGTCTTGCATTTTTAAATGCAATGCTTGCTTGGCCCACGTTAGAGCTAGACATGGGAATTTTCCAGTGGAAAAAGAAACTAGAAGCAGCACTCATGGCATTATGATCTATAGTTTGTTTATAGCTGTGGATTCCAAACATTTTAACTGGCTACAAGTGGCCTTTGATAATTTGAAAGGAAGCCAAGTATAGCTTTTTAACTTTTCCTCCGTATGTCCTGCCCGTTTTCTAGATCATAGGCTTTCATAGGCTGAGTAATACTTACTGATTTATTTGCATCCATGTTGATTAAGTGAAAATGAAAGCACTGCTATTTTAATAATAATTTCAGTTTACATTATGTTAAAACATCTTTGTTGGTAGAAGGCATTGCAAGAACGTGGATCTGGAGACAGTGGGAACTGTGTGGGTGCATGTCTGTTCATATAAGTTGTTCTAGGGAAAAGAAGCCAATTAATTTTACAAGAAGGCTAATTAAAAATTCTTTGTGCACCAGTTCTTTATCTTTTCTTTCTGAAGTAATAGACCAAAATTACATAATTGCCTTTATTTTGGCCTGAGAGGGAATGAAGGGGGGCTGTTCCTTTTCTCTGTTAAATGCTGGTTAAATTTTAGTCTTAGGAAAACCACTTTAATGAGCAGAAATGTGAGCCCTTGTAAAGCTAGTAATGTCCTTCATTAGAGTTGACCTGGTGTATGATTGTTTGGCCAGATGGCACTGTGCAGGAAATGTACTTTAAATTTTTAATGTGCAAAAGAAATCTTTGATCTACTGTTACAGTGGATCATCAAACCCACAAAACATAAAAACCATGAGATGTAGTCACCCAGAATTTCTAGACGCAGTTGAAGTAAGTTGGATATCAAGGCACAGAACTCCTCCAGGGGAATGGCAAAGAATAATTTATTGAAGGTGTTTGTATTGGATACACTTTGTGTTATGGGGAAGGAGTCCTGATTAAATGGTAACGGTAAATGCTGCTTTTTCTTATTTGATGTTAACTATTTTATGACAGCAAGTGTTCCAAAATGCTTTGATTGTAGGTGTTTGGATGGAACATCATGCTTCTTTCATTTTATGTATGTGAACAATACAGTTGATAGCAAATTAACACTGTCTATCCTTAAACACTTGCAAACATTATGGAAAAAGTACATTTCAGATTCTTTTGATTTGCCTTATGATTTAAGGAGCCTCTTGGGACTGCCTGCATCACACTTCATAGCTTTCCTGTAGCCCGAAGGCTAAAATTATTTCTGCTCTTCCCAAGTAAAAGTTGAGTCTCTTATGGGTAAAAACAGAGGCTGAGGCCTTGAATACAACACCCCACCAACTGTGCAATTTAAAAATAATGTCTTATACATTGGAATGTATTAAAATTAAAAACCGAAATGTACATGACTGGAGTATATAAACTCACCCATTTAGTTCTTTCCATCTAGCGATAGCATATTTTGGCATCTCAAGCAGCAAGTTGCAGTCTTTGAGGCTTGGCAGAGCCATACCTCACAGTAACAAAGAACTGAACTTCTGTGCTTTAGTGTGTCATTAAGCTGCAGTCTCACGTTTCAGTGCCTGGGAATTGATTTACTAGTTCGATTTTCTGAGGCATATAGTGATAATAATAATAATATTTTATAAGCATTATTTAAAAATACAGTAATATACCAGTATTGGATCTTTGGCAGGCCAGCACTGAAGTGTGCACACAAACTACCATCATTTATTTTAGTTTAGTCTCATCCAATTTTAAATAAATGGAAATCAATACTGCTTGTGGGTATCAGTGGCTAGCTTGGAGAAAGAGGTGAAGTGGTAAGACCACATTGCACAAAAAAGCACAATGTATGAATTTTATGCACATTCCTCTTTTGTCTTTCTTTTTCAGGATCTTTTAGTATAGTTTGCAAAGGTAGGCTTTTTATTTGTTATGACTGTCCTCTATGTAAAATGCATCCCTGTGTAAAACGTATGTGTTGTTTGCAATTTTAATGTAGAAACACAAAGCGAATGCTTCTGAAGTCGAATACCTTTTTGATGCTGGCTGATGTATTGATGTGGACTTTAAGCCTTGGATTGATATGGACTTTAAGCCTTTTAGAGGCAATGACTGCTCTTTTTTCCTTTCAGATATGTGTCACAAAGATGTCTACACGGAACTGCCAGGGAATGGATTCAGTGATCAAACCTCTGGATACGATTCCTGAAGATAAAAAGATCCGGGTTCAGAGGACACAAAGTAGTTTTGATCCGTTTGAGAAACCAGCTAATCAAGTGAAGAGGGTTCATTCAGAGAACAACGCTTGCATTAACTTCAAAACTTCATCTGCAGGAAAGGAGTCACCTAAAGTCAGGCGGCATTCCAGCCCCAGCTCCGTAAGTGTACAGTCCTCACACCTGCGCACGTACCACATGGTGGAATTAATAGCACTAGAAAAACATTTTCTTGTTTAGGAAGGAACAGATTACTTGGAAACAAACCAGAAAAATTATGGCTGCTATAAAAGATATTTCCCATATATATTTGTACTGCTATGTATAAAATGGAATAAGAAAATAGAATTTGAAAAATAATATATTTTTAAATCTCTCTCAGATATTAGCTAGGGTGTCTTACGGGATTTCTAAGCAATTTCCTCTCCTGATCCTGGTATGGCATTACAGCTGCTCTAATGTTTATGTTGCAGATTTTGCAGAGGGTTGCTTATTTGTGAAGAGGAATTCTTCCCCCTGAAGTTTAGGAAACCACATGAATTGCCTGTTTTATCTTTAGATTTAGGTTTTAAAGAAACAGATCAGATTTGACAGATTTTGTTTACACTTTAAAATTATCTTTTTAAAATCAAGTAGTAAAAATAACGTTCATTTCCATCTCAGAAACTTTGCGTGCATGAGAGAAAGAGAGAGAAACAGCTGAGAAGGGTTTGGCAACACATCATCATTGTTGTGTTATTCTCAAGTATTTTGAAAGAAACTGGATAAATAAAATGTCATATCTTGCATGAATAATGCCCAGAACAGGTTTCTCCCAAAAGTCCTTCAAAATTATTCAAAAGCTATTTCTGTTATGCTTTGGCAGGGAAAATCCATAATAATGTGACCTTTGAGTTGAATACTAAGGGATCTAAGCAGAATGGATCTAACACTTCAAATCTTAGTTGGCGTGAAATGCTTTAAAAGGTTGATTGCCTCTTCTTTTTTTTCTTTTCTTCTTTTTTTTTCTCCATCTTCTGGACATCTTCTGACCTCCCTACAGAAGTTTGACTGAATCGTGTCAGACTTCTAAGAAAAAATGGCAGAGCTTCATTTTCTGTAGATGAGCTTTGTTTAATCCATGTGATTTTACCGGTAAGATGTCAAGCCTCCAGGGGACCTTCCTTTTTAGAAAAGGTTACATTTAAAAATATAACCATCTGTAGCAAAAACAAATCTGCTTTTTCATCATTGCCTGGCACTATATAGCTGCTGCCAAAGATGTCTCTGGTGTGTTCCAGATGAGTCCGTAACAAGGAGTTCTTGCTTTAAAACTTTTACAGTCATTAAGGGACGGATGAAGTGATTTGCCCTGTGCATGATGTCTGAATATTGTTTGGCACCACCACCACTCAATTTAGATTAGTTTTTTTTTTTGTAAGTCTTCCCTGAAAGGTTTTGTGGTATTAACTCACTTCCCATCTCTGATGTTCTTATCTTGTTCCTCTTAGAAGTTATTATTAATTTCTGTTAATGATTTATTAACTTATTTTCTATTAAAACACAAAGAATTTTAGTTGCTTTGTTTCCAGAATTTTGAAGTAGGCTTTTTGAAACTGTGTTATTGCCATCTTGTACTTTTCCAGCAATCTGATACTCTACTTCATCCATTCCATCTCAGATGACCCCAGTATTTTTTTTTATGTAAAAGATCTTAATGCTTCCTCTCCCAATATGCAGGTGGTTAGAGCCCTAGCTAAACATACACTTTTGTTAATCCTCTGTTATGGTGACTCACACAGGCTTGCTGAGGACATCTTGTATTAAAGTAGGTGCATAGTAATTTCCTGAAATACAATTCTTATTTCTCGACTTCCTTTAATTCTCCCTGATTTTTATAGCTCTGTTCAGTGAAGTCAGTTCTTCCTTCTGCTTTGAGGCATTGTTAGTAATTTTTGACTCTTCCTCACAAGGAGTGATCCCAAGAACACCTGGCAAGGAATAACTTGTGGAATAATGTTAGCATTGACAACAAGGAAGACGGAAGACTAGAAATTCACATCAAAAGGTGATTTTAGCCCTCTGATGATTGCAGGTCACATCTGGTCCTGCCCAACAGACCTAAGTTCTTATGTCCAAGGCAGAGATACGATCAAGCCGCTCCCCTCCCTCCAGAGCCTGAATAAGCTGCCCCAGGCAGGAGCTGTTATGATGCACATTTCATTCAGCATAGGTCTGGGTGGTTAGTTGCAGGAATTTGTCATTCTCTGGTTTTGAATTGCACTTGAACTGACGAAAGGTTTTGAATTTAATTTTTTTTCTAGTCCTGATGTATAGCAGATGTCCTTGCTACTTCTTCTTCTGATCATTAGTTTTTTTTTCTTCCATGGCAGAGGGCTGCTGTGTATTCTTCCTAATTAAGTTAATACTTGATTCTCTGGAAATTCTTCTGCTGAATAGATTATACCAGTCTCAATGGGCATTTCAGTTTCTGTAAATGTTCTTGAGCATGCTATGGCCTCTGGCTTGTACTGGCTACAGTTGTGTAGCTGTGTTTCGGTTTTAGCTTTGCTTTCTGTAAGCTTTATTTGAAGTTACTCTGAAAGATATATGCTACCTTCAGTTTGCACTTTCTGTGCTTGATTAGTGGAGGGGCTGAATTAGAGATAGGATTCTGTTTAGTCTCTTCCCTTTCATCATGTAAACTCCTCATTAGCCATCAGGTGCGGAAGTGATGTCTTACAGAAGGTACATGGCTGAGACTTGCAGTCTGTATATCACTGCTTTAGCTCAGGTGAAAGTCCTTTATTTGTCTCAGAAATAACATTTTTCAAGAAGTGAGCTGAAAGACCTTGTTTATAGTTCCCTGTGCCATCAGCTTCTGTGTTGATCAGTTTCAGAAGCAGTCTTGGCATGCATCAGCTTCACTGTTTGGGGAAGATCACCACATAATACTCTGCAGGTAGCACGTTACCCATTTTGTGTTTTCTGTGCCTTTGAAATGTGTTGCACCTTGTGATGAAAAGATCACTTGCATGTACGGGCACACACAGACAGAGGCTGAGGAAGCAGGAACTCCATGTTCCTGCCCACAGGTTGTCACTTGGATAAATCATTTGCTCTTGAACATAGAGCAATTTTCTGCAGTTAATGTCACACATCATTTCAACCTGGTAGAAATCCGGTGCAGTTAATTAGTGCAGTAGCATACAGGCAGAAGTTAAGTTTGTTTATAAGAACAAAAAAAAATGTGTTAAGTTTTACACTTCCACCTGAGTCTTTCCACCTGACATTTACATACTCATTATATAAGCCAGCTACATTGCATTGCGTTTTCTTCCTCTCTTTAACATAAGAAAACATCTAAGGGTAGGATTTCCAAATAACTTAAGCTGGTTGAAATTGGATGTTGTTATGGAATGAGATTTCCAGCACAATAAACTTACCCTTTTCTCACAAAAGAATGATGGGCAATATTCACCTTGGAGGTAGTGAAGTAGGTGTTTGCCTGTTAGAAGAGGGGAACTTGACTTAATAAACCTTTGCTCTCATCCAGACCAACACAACAGATATGTGTGTGTATATATATATATGTATATATATATATGTATGTATATTCTGTACATGTAGCTATAGTTGCACGCACTTCTCTATCTGTCTGTATCTATCCTAAAAATCTTTTGCTGAGTCTTTTACCTATGAAGGGAAGAAATTTGCTTTTTTTCTTTCCTTAGCTGGACACAACAAAAAAAGCAGAATTCAAAACTAAATTTATGGCAGTCTTTCCAAAATAACACTGGCTTTGAAAAACAGTTTGACTCTAATTTTCTGAAAGTCTAATTTGAGATCCACACTCTTTAAGCATGTCATTATTATTATTATATATTTTTCTCCAATGCCAGGTGAAGTTTTATTACATTCACTGTACACATTTTCTACACTATAAAATAGTACTTTTGCATTATATGTAAATAGAATTTGCAGGTTTTATGAGCTAGCCATCTGGTTGTCATGGTTTAAGTCCTGCTGGCAACTATGTTCCACACAGCCACTTGCTCACTCCCCTTAGCCCCCCCAAAGGTGGGATGGGAAGAGCTGGGGAAAAAAAGTTAAAAAACATGTGGGTTGAGATAAGAACAGCTTAATAGTTGAAATAAAGTAAAATATAATAATCATCATCATCATCATGGCTTGACTTCGCGAACGAAGATTTGGGAAGGGCATTTACCCACGCTTACTACAAGCGTGCTGATGACTAAGAAGGCCAATGTGGGATAGGCAAATCCGGCTACAAAAAGCACAGCAGAAGGTCTCCTTGGGTGGAACAGGTGGGACACGATTCTTCCTGTGTTGTCTTTTCTCCTCGAGACTAGTTCTTCGTGAACTCTCAAAGGAGTCAGCGGCATTATGTATGGTGTGCCTCCAAGTCTCCCGATTGGAGGCCAAGGTGGACCACTGATGGTAGTCAATATGGCCAAGGCTAAGGTATTGTTTCAGGGAGTCCTTGTATCTCTTCTTTGGGGCACCTCTCTTGCGGCTACCGGTGGCAAGTTCACCGTAAAACATGATCTTGGGGAGGCGGTGATCCTTCATTCTAGAGACGTGCCCTGCCCAGCGCAGCTGCAGTTTCAGCAATGTGGCCTCGATGCTGGTGACCCCTGCCTGTTCGAGGACAGTGACATTATGCTGAAAAGAACAACGTGTTGCTTATTGTGCAGTGGAAGACGTAAGGAGATAATACGGTCGGAATGACCTATTGGCAGATTTTCAAGTTTGGAGGCTATGGAGTTTTTAATCATGAAGCCGACTCCAGAAAGATGACTTTCAGTTTTGGGTTTGCCTGACCAGTAGAGTGTATAGCCAGCACCATGTTCTTTGAGGCTACCTTCCTCATGAAGGCGAACTTCACTGAGTGCAGCGATATCGATGTTAAGACGTGACAATTCATGGGCAATTAGTGCAGAACGGCGCTCAGGACGCCCACTGTTCACTGTATCAAGCATGGTTCTGATGTTCCAACATGCGAGTGTCAATCTGGACACACCTTTGGAGGCAGGTGTATGCCTTTGTCTCTTTGTTTTTAATTGACCGCAATAGAAGATGCCCGTTGGCCGCGGCTAGCCAACCAGGTGGAGGGGGAGATGAGCTTTGGTTAGGCCACCTTTTCTAGGCCTCTCTCCATA